GGGGCCAGGGCTAACGTTAGCCAGTCTGCTGGGGCCAGGGCTAACGTTAGCCAGTCTGCTGGGGCCAGGTCTAATGTTAGCCCGTCTTCTGGGGCCAGGGCTATTGCCCTGGCTTCTGCAAAAACTGGGCGGAGCTAGACAGGTGAATGGGATGAACCATCAAGCAGGTCATCAGCGCCAAGATCGTGACAGAATCATGACTGCCTTTGCATTTTCATGAAGAATTTTCCCATTTTCCAACTAAAGCTGCACATCTTTTGCATTGTGATCATTTTTTATCGGGTCAAGTGTTAACCCTTTCATTTGTTGACATGAGATTGATGTTTTTTCTGTAAAGTTTCCATTTTATAGGAAAGTGCTGTAGCCCATCTTTCTTCTTCCTGCTCGGATTCGGCATCTTTTTTTCACTTATGGTTTCACATCTATCAAACACAGCATCAGATGAGTTCATAAAACACTCCCAGCCAATGCTTTCCCTTTATGCAACATCCACAGCCTCACAAGGATTCAAACTCAAAGCGGCTTCCTGCAGACTGAAAAATCAAGCATGGCTGCACGCATAGCTACATGTTCAACACAAGCCCATTTGCGCTTTTTATTTTAAAGCGCAAATCAAACCTTGGTAATGACCTAAATGATGGTGGTTAAAATGAAGGTCAACAGAAAATACAATGAACCCAACAAGCTGTGGGATGCAGCTACATCGGGTAAATAAAGCAAGACCACAACTCCAAGCAACCCCTGAGGAGCAGAGAATCAGAACACCTGTGCAACCATAACAAGTCAACAGTCATCACGGGGGAGTAATGGCGGCCGAGTGGTTAGAGCAGTGCGCTGTGCTCTGAGAAGGTTGCAAGTACGTGGTTCGTTCCCACAGACTGCCACTCTGGGTCCCTGAGCAAGACCCTTAACCCCTCCCTGCTCCCTGGGTGCCACACAATGGCAGCCCACTGCTTCCCAGGGTGATGGGTTAAATGCAGACAGGGAATTTTTCCAATGTTGGATCAACAAAGGTATTAATATTTCCATTTCTGAAACAGGTTCGCCTCTCCAACGTTTCTCATATCAATTTGACCAATAACTTATAAAATAACTGTCCGAGTCTCTCCTCCATCACTTTAGAAAGAAAAAGTCTTTTTATGCACCTTGTTCTCTGTCCTGTTCTGTCCTGTCCGTAGAGCCGTTTCACAGATGTTGGTCTGAGGCGAGCCTCCACTGGGCGCAGCTCCCAGGGTGGGTTATTAGGGTGAGAGGCTCAGTGCAGACCAAGATATCGGCGTTGTTTTTTCCCAGAATTAGTCGCTGCTCAGAGGCAGATGGCTGCAGTGGCAGAGGGCAGGATGAAACAAAGGAAGAGTGTTTTTAGATGTTTCAAATGAATAGAAAATAAAACTAAAATCCCAACAGAGGATCACTACTTTAATTGTACTTTATTCTGATTTTTTAAAACAACTCATTGATCGTTTCTGCACTGCCTGCTTTCTTCACGCTGTGACTCCAAACATCTTTCCTCTTACAGTGAACAGAATTTATTTGGGCTTTAATTTGTCTCTGATTACTGATCAATGCAATTAGCAGATCATTGCTGCAGGACTTATTCTGACTTATGACAGAAAATGCTTTAGAACAGTCGTTGACTTCATGAAGAAATGTTCCTTTGAGTTACCCCAGCCTATTTGCATTTTCTCCCTCACCTTGTCTGTAGCAACCTTTGTTATGCCTTTGGTTCCAACCGAGTGCCTGACCTGTGCAAATTCCTCTTCTCTTTATCAAAGGGTGATTTGACTGAACCAGGGGAGGCTCTTCTCTAACGGGAAAGGGTTCAAAGATAGTTTGACATCGTCACCAATTCCCTGTTTACCCAACTTGATTAGAGCAACATTATCGTTTTTATTACTGACAGTTTCTTTTTTTCAAATTCTACAGTTTAGTTTATGCAAAATAACGGACTTTTTTGATAATGGCTTTGTCCCATGTCGGTTTCTTTTCCCTTGTTATGAGGAGATAAAATGTTGGGCAGGTTATCTTATGTCTTTATTCCATGATGAACTCACAGCTTTCTGGGTGACACACAAAAGGCTGGATGTTGTTTTCTGCATGACAGCCAGACTTTCTCTTAACTGTTTTTCACCTTTATTAGAGAGTAACTATCAGAGGTAATCAATAACAATAAAGAAAGTATGATCGAAATTTTCCATGTACCAAATAAGGACTAATGAAGGAACAGAGCAAGAGAGCTGGGGACAGTTCCATAGCTTTAGAAAAGTGGACTATGTTTAATTTAGATTGTTTAGTCTTATTTATGATTGTTTATAACAGCTACTGCTGCTGTTGGTGAGACGTATCACGCTTACTCCCTGGTCTGATGGTGGCGCAGTGGTTAGTGCACCATGTATGGAGGCCTCAGACCTCCATGTGGCCAACCTGGGTTTGAATCCCACCTATGGTGCTTTGCCACATGTCTCACCCCCCGTCTGCCTCCTTTAGTGATAATGGGATGTGTAATAAGTGTAGTATTTTAGTAGCTTTGGAGGCGAGGGTGTCAGAGTTAGAATCCAGGCTTCAGGCTGTTGAACATCCAGGAGTTAAAGTAGGCCCCCCACGTAGCTGTCCTCCAGCAGTGCCTGAGCAGCCAGGCGATTGGGTAACTGTACGCAGAAAGCGTAGTCGTGGATCTCTGCCCACTGGTCACCACCAACCCGTTCACGTTTCTAACCGGTTTTCCCCACTCAGATTGTAATTTTTTTCATAGATGAAGCTACTATGAGAAAAAGCAGAGAGAGCAGAACGTTAGAGATTGAACTAACAGATTCTGCAGAGTGGGAGAATAGAGATAGAATGAAGCAGGATGATGAAAAAGGGGTCCCTATGTCCTCCAGCAGTCTAAGCCTATAGCAGCAGAACTATAGAGATAGCTCAGGATAACTTGAGCCACTCTAACTAGAAGCTTTATCAAAAAGGAAAGTTTTAAGCCTAGCCTTAAAAGTAGACAGGGTGTCTGCCTCACGGACTAAAACTGGTAGTTGGTTCCAAAGGAGAGGAGCCTGATAAATAAAAGATCTGCCTCCCATTCTACTTTTAGAAATTCTAGGAACCACTAGTAAACCTGCAGATTGAGAGCGAAGTGCTCTGTTAGGAACATAAGGAACAATCAGATCTCTGATATCAGATGGAGCTTGGCCATTTAAGGCTTTATATGTGAGAAGGAGGATTTCGTTAGTTGCTTTTTTTGATAGGCTTAGACTGCTGGAGGACATAGGGACCCCTTTTTCATCATTCTGCTTCATTCTATCTCTATTCTCCCACTCTGCAGAATCTGTTAGTTCAATCTCTAACGTTCTGCTCTCTCTGCTTTTTCTCATAGTAGCTTCATCTGGTCTGTTCCTGTTTGGCTGTGACTCTATCCTGGAGAGAAATTAGCCTTCTCCTTAGATAGAACACTTTGAACCAATCTGCCTATATGATCTGGTTGAATTGTTTCTATAAAGTGACCTGCGATGGCATGTGAGGGAATTCAAGCTATAGAAATAAACTGAATAGAATTGAACTTCTGAAACTGAATGTAATGGAAGTAGCGCTTCTTTCTTACATGATATTCAAATCAAGGCTTTCCTCAGCTGAGGGCTGGGTCCGTTTTATCAGATTTGCTTCTGCTTATTTAAGGAGATTCTTCCTCACACACATCTTCACCCTCTCGTTGGTTGAGGTAAGACTGCTGCTGTTATTTCCTTCTTCTAACTTTTCAAAGGGGGGGAAGCAATTGTTCGTTTCATGCTCTGAATTGTTTCATTTTTAATACCCAACACTGCTAATGTGTCAGTTCAATGGCTGATGTTGGTTTATGAAATATAATCTACTTCACTGTCAGACAGTTTTGATCTCCTGTTAGTTAAATCTATTGAACATATTCAGGTTCATGCTCAACCTTATCCTAACTCATATTTTTCTGTTTCTAAAGAAATAACAGTTTGGTGAATCTTTCAGTTCTATGTCCTTGGAAAGAATGAAGAGTCCTTTTCTGGTCGTTGGGACACTTTTCCTGCTGTCCATCACTGGCGGGGAGGTAAGCTCCTGTCAGACTAGAACTCCTCTATGAACATCTTCATCTTTTTTTAATAGAAGCAACATTAGCATTGTTCAACATGGAAAGGCTAACACTAAATATGTTCTTCCTCTTTTGTTTTCTTCTTCCAACAGAATTATAATTTTGGGGACATAATTGCTTTTCCCAAAGTTATGGGTTGTAAATGTATGCCACTCGCTACCTACAAGCACTATGCTGTTTATGTAGGGAAGGAGGAATTTGAAGGAAAGAAACCTGATGAAGACATCTTTCACCTCACAGGTTCAGTATCTGTTTGTTTTAAAGCAGAGATGTATGCGTGCTGCAGGTCTTTCAACTCTTCTAAAACTCTTCTTCCTCATCAATTACAGGTCCAGTCCAATCAATGAAAGTAGCTGACTGTGTCTTTGGGAAGTTATCTACACAAGGGGAACATGAACTTGACAACTACCTGGATACGATATGGACTATAGATCCAGTCCATATTAAACAACGAATTAAGGAACTTCATAAAAACTGTCCAGCAGAGAAAAGCAAGGAGTTCAGAATAGGGAGCTGGAAACCTTTTTCACACAACTGTGAGCACATTGCTAATTATGTACGTTATGGAAATGAGGTGTCACTGCAGGTATGACATCACAAACAACACCTGATCCTCAGTGTGGGTAAATTATCAACCTAGCCTAAGTCTTATTAGAATGATCAATTATGATTATTACCTTCAAGTACAATGTGATTTAATAAGTCTAAAGATAAATGAACGTTCTGCAGAAATGTTTGCTTTTTAAAGCTCAATGGGTCAGATGGTAGTCTGGAAATGTAGTCATTCTATTTGATCGAATTTTGAGTAAGCCAGATCATTTGCTTTCTGTTGCTTTGCTCTGTTGCTGTTGCTTTGTTCTGTTGCTGTTGCTTTGGTCTGTTGCTGTTGCTTTGTTCTGTTGCTGTTGCTTTGTTCTGTTGCTGTTGCTTTGCTCTGTTGCTGTTGCTTTGGTCTGCTGAGGATGATCAGCAGGTCATTAAAGTGCAGCGCTGCATGCAGCACATAAAACCATTGCTAATCCTTTAAGCTGACCATGATAGTTCTAATTAATAATCAGATAGCCAAAGATTAAAAGAAGATGTTTTATGAAATTAAACCAGGTGAAAGTAAAAGTTTTCCACTAGAGGAGTTCTGCAAAGAGCAGATTGACAGATGAAGTTTTTTATCTTAAAAGCAAAATGTTTTTATATTTCTTTATCATTTTTGCTGTAATTCCTCCTCTAAGTGTGTCGCTCTGTTTAGAGTCTCTATACTCCAGTTACTGATTAATCTATTACTGAATTAGTTGATTTCAGTAACCGGTTGATTATTTCATCCCAGTGTAAGAGGATAACCTGTAATGGAAGCACTGTAATCCCTTGTGTTGTTCAGTATGATGTATTGCTCAATGTAAAAATTGACCAATATGTTCAGATGTGTTATTTAGTTTTATAAATAACTTGCCGATGCTTTTGTTTTAACAGCGTGGTCAGTCCGGTGAAAACAACGTCAAGAATCCGAACATCAGTGAAGAAATGCTCAAAGAAATTAAAGAAAAACTTTGTGCCAAATCCTGTGAGGAGGTTTGCCCCCTAGACGCCCCCAACGCTGGTTAAGAGTCTCAAAAGGAATTAATGATTTCCTTTGGAAGATGTCAGCGGATTCTTATCAATAAACGGCATGAAAAAATGAGTCAGTCCTTGTTTTTTTTAAACAGAAATGTTTCGCTGGAGTCGAATCAAGTTCTTGTGTTGAATAATTATTTAAAGAGGATATAACCTCAGTAAGAGCAGCTGAGTTGGTCAGCCAGTTGGCAGAAGCCGTCTTTAGGACTTGATGTGGTCTGGAACAGGTCCAGAGACGGGGAAACCAGTAACAGCGTCTGATTGAGGGAAAACCTCAAACACAGACTGATATTTATGAAAAACCTGTGGGCTGGTTCACCAGAGCTACTACAATCAGAACCTTTTCATCTCTGACACTACTAACCAGTTCAAAGGGTTGGAAAATGAAACAGTGGATATAAACCAACTATAGCTGAATTATTACGCTGTCATCTTCATATAAACTCTGGTTCAGCTGCCATTTTCCTTTCTCTTTATGTATTTTCATTTCTGCTTTTATTCAGAAGGAAGCCTGATCCATAGATCTGATCAAACTCACATGAGTCAGAGCCTGCAGATGGTGCAGTGGTTCCTCCTCTCCTGTCAGCCTAGTGCTGTAAAAAAATACTCATATTAGTTGGATTGTTTAAAGATGAAAAAGCCAAACAGCTTTGGTTGCAGTCTTAGTTAATGCATCATTAAAAAGAACAATAAAGAGCTTCTATGGTTTCTCTTTATCTGCTCACCTTTTCTCCTTCCTGGTCTTATCCTTATGGAACAGAAAATCAAATGGGGAGTTTTTCCACCTCCATGATAAAATGTGGTGTCCATATTGTCCATGGTGTCCATATTGTCCATATTGTCCATGGTGTCCATATTGTCCATGGTGTCCATATTGTCCATATTGTCCATGGTGTCCATATTGTCCATATTGTCCATGGTGTCCATATTGTCCATATTGTCC